TGTATAGGTATAAAAAAAGGGGGGGGGGGGGGGGGGTGGAGTGTTTTTTTATCATCTTTATTTTTATTTTTTTTATATGTGATCACATTCCCTCTGTTTTCAGCTGCATAAAGAGCTAAGATAGCTGGGGGAGGAGAAACAGCAATACACTTATCTTCCCAGTAAATGGTTGTGTGGGGGGAGGGCGAGTCAGGACAAGTCTGATCATTGGAGAACACACTGAGTTCCCATCACAGCTAGAGAACTAACCATGCTGAGCTGTCGTGCCTAGTGTGGTCAGTTTTTAATAGGAACGCAGAGGGACTGGCAGGAACACCAGAGATTTCACACTAAGGAATCAATACAAAGAGAACAGGATACTTTTTCATCTAAGTACATGGTACAGCAGGCACATACCAGGGTTATGAAATGTTGGATTTACGTATTTTTTAAAGCTAAACTCTGGGCAAGCAGTAACTGTATTTTATCAAAAGCTATCTTGTGGCTTCCCTGAAATATGTTCTCCTTTTTTCAGTAGTGGCTTCTGTGTGTAACAATCCAGCATTAAAGCAGAACTCCAGGTAAAAACTTTTTGACATGTCCTTTGTGCTGATTTCTACCTTTTACAAACCATGTCATCCATCTTCTTGTTAACTAGTAGCTGCTCTGAAATAGTCTGAATATCTTCAAATCAAATTGTTAATTCCCAGGAGTTTCCTGTTTTGTAAGACCGGTGGCTGCAATTCCTCCTATTCCCCCAGCCACCAGTCTTGGCACTTCCCATTTGTAGTTCTTTACAGCAAGCAGGGATGTACTTCCGTCCCTCCTTGCTGCAGTGGGAGGATTGGGACTCTGAGACCACCGGTCGGTACCGCCCATGGAGGTGGAGTCCTAAAGAAGACCGCTCAGGATGCTCTGCCAGGGGCTGGCTGGTAGTGCTGGGTGAGTAACACCTACATGTCATACAGAGGCAGTATATTGGGTTACACATGTCCTGTCCCAGGGTTTGTGTTTAGGAGAGACAAGGATCCCCTGTTCAGGGACCGGCCAGTGATGTTTGATGCAGAGGGGCAAGCTCTGGGTGAAGTTATTACCATTCATGAACTGATATGTAGAGTAAGGGCTGTCCAATCATAGGGCAGGGTGAGCTACGTTCTGGTGTACTGGGACAGGATGGGTGTGACTTGGCATGCAGCAGTCGCTCTGATCCCGAGGATCGGGGACACACCCCGCTGGGACCCCGACATTCCATCCCGCATGGCACGGCTGTTCCTGGAGAAGGGATGAGGATCCCAGGTACCTGGGAAGAGGACGGGGGACAATCCACTCGTTTGGATGACAGCCACTGACAGCTCACAAGTATGAACGTCTCCAGGGCCCAGAAATGCGGATCTCTGTGTGAGGACACCTTCCATTTCTGGGGACACCCGATGCTTGTGTGGAGACATTCCATCTCTGGGGACACACCATTTTTGGAGACACCCCATCTCTGTGTGGAGACACCTCATCTTTGTGTGGGGACACCTTCCATCTCTGGGGATACCCCATCTTTGTGTGGGGAGGACCCCATCTCTCTTTGGGGACAGCTTTTCATATGTAGTAGACTATATAGAATAAACTAAACATTTTGCACATGCATGCTTTACATTTAATAGATTGTCACCTAACTGTCCTGCTCTGTGGTGCTGAGCAGTGTGGCTGGAGAATGAGGGGGTGTGATTTCTGTTGAAGTGGGCAAGTACACATTTAATATGTACAGTCCTAGTGTACCCGCCCACACTCATTGCAATTCCAAAAGGTTGATGGGTAGTGTAGTTTCCTTTTTCTGTAGAGAGAGGATATGATGTAATCCCGGCTGTTACACCTCCTTTCTGGTAGAGCAGATGCTGTTATTTTAATTACAGAGCTGATTTCCTGAAAATTTAATTAGACTTTTTTTTCTTCAGTGGTAAGAAGTTGCAAAAATGTATTAACTTTCAGTGTTTTGTGTAGGGTGGTGGTGTAGTAATGGGTGATTTTTTTTTTTTTTTTTTTTTTTTTTTTGCTCCTATCCCGGAGTTCTTTAAGGCTACGCTCACACAGGCGGATAGGAGATGGTGAAAACAGGTGCTTGATATGCATTTTTACTGCCCCTCAGATGCCTATTTTACAAATTTACATGGCGGAGCCTCAGGCCCTTTCACATGGTCATGATGCTTTGCAGGTTTGCCGTGATGCAGCAGATTTAACTCATTTGGCATATAGTTCACCGGCCAAACATGCCCATTGAAGTCAATTGGACTGCACAGCAACCACTTGCCAAACATTTGGCACGGAGTTGCAGCATAGTATTTCAGTATAAAATCCCAACTGGTTTCAAGAGGCGGAGTTCCTCCCCGAACACCTGCAAACTGCCACTCAGCCACGTCTGAAAATGGATCCAATGCAGATTTTGAGGGGGGTGGTAAAGTTTGTGGAGCCTGAAGTTGTGCAATAATGCTCCAGGCCCTGCAGTTCTATTCCCAAAAAGAAGAAATTTTTTCAGCCAAAAGTGTTAGGTCAGGTACTGATGTTGGAAAAGAAGACCTGGTTCATTCCCAATTATCCAAAAGATGTTCAATGGGGTTGAGATTTTTTCACTGAAGTTGGCTTTGTGCGCAGGGGCACAGTCGTGCTGGGACAGTTAAAGGTCTTCCACAAACTGTTACCACAAGGTTAGAGGAGTAAAGTTGTCGAAAACAGCCTTTTTCGACCAAGGTTCCTTTAACTGTTGCTAGGGGTTAAGTAATAGGAATTTTTTGTCTTTCAGATAAGTAAGCACAGTTTTCAATTATCTTTTTAGCCAAGTGTAAGGGGAATTCTCCCACGGAGCAACAATGATGCCTTTTTCCTAATGACCACCAAATATAAGGGGACCCTCCCTCTACTGACCAATAAGGGGCATTTCAGAGATTTGTACTATACACCTGCCCTTTGTACACCAGCCTTTATTAGCCAGGGTTCTGTGGCAAACCTAAGGTTCCTTCGGGGGTTGCTAGGAATACCTTTTTAACAATGGACAATTCCTGCCTCTCAGATAAGTAACCACTGACTTCAGTGATCATTTAAAGAAGGTCTTCTCACCAAACACCAGTGTAAAGTTGCCTTTTTCACAATGGCCACCAAGATAAAGGGCCCTTCTTCCAATGACTACTGACATAAAAGAGCCCTTCTCATCACAACCTCCTTACATCGTGTTCTGGCTCAATAGAGTAAAAGGGTTAAACCACATTTATCTATTCTGAGAAGAGTAATGCTGGCCATAGACGGGTCATTTATCTGCTGAATTGTCGGCCGATAAATGAAAAATCGGTCGTTGTTGTCACCAATGCTTGGCTGTTTTTCGTAGATTTTCCAGCATTACCGATAAAAGGAAACGAGAAGAACCGCGAAAATTGGTCGACGACATTGCCCCACTAAAGGTGTGTCTATCGACCGATTTTTCGTTCGGACGAAAATTCAGCCGATAAATGACCCGTCTATGGCCTGCATTAGGCTCTCAAGACAGGTCCTGTTGGACAATCAGTTTCTGTCTTTGCCCCACGCCTTTCACACCATCACTATTTTTTTGTAGTGTCCCACCTATAGCCCTCTCAGGCTCTTTAACCCCCCCCCCCCCCCCGACCGCAGTGTCTGGTCATCTCCTGTGCTGTGTCCGCAGTCCCTGGTCATCTCCTGTGCTGTGTCCGCAGTCCCTGGTCATTCTCTGTGCTGTGTCCGCAGTATCTGGTCATCTCCTGTGCTGTGTCCGCAGTCCCTGGTCATCTCCTGTGCTGTGTCCGCAGTCCCTGGTCATCTCCTGTGCTGTGTCCGCAGTCCCTGGTCATCTCCTGTACTGTGTCCGCAGTCCCTGGTCATCTCCTGTGCTGTGTCCGCAGTCCCCTGGTCATCTCCTGTGCTGTGTCCGCAGTCTCTGGTCATCTCCTGTGCTGTGTCCGCAGTCTCTGGTCATCTCCTGTGCTGTGTCCGCAGTCTCTGGTCATCTCCTGTACTGTGTCCGCAGTCTCTGGTCATCTCCTGTGCTGTGTCCCGCAGTCTCTGGTCATCTCCTGTGCTGTGTCCGCAGTCTCTGGTCATACTCCTACTGTGTCCGCAGTCCTCTGGTCATCTCCTGTGCTGTCCCGCAGTCTCTGGTCATCTCCTGTGCTGTGTCCGCAGTCTCTGGTCATCTCCTGTGCTGTGTCCGCAGTCTTGGTCATCTCCTGTGCTGTGTCCGCAGTCTCTGGTCATCTCCTGTGCTGTGTCCGCAGTCTCTGGTCATCTCCTGTGCTGTGTCCGCAGTCTCTGGTCATCTCCTGTGCTGTGTCCGCAGTCTCTGGTCATCTCCTGTGCTGTGTCCGCAGTCTCTGGTCATCTCCTGTGCTGTGTCCGCAGTCTCTGGTCATCTCCTGTACTGTGTCCGCAGTCTCTGGTCATCTCCTGTGCTGTGTCCGCAGTCTCTGGTCATCTCCTGTGCTGTGTCCGCAGTCTCTGGTCATCTCCTGTGCTGTGTCCGCAGTCTCTGGTCATCTCCTGTGCTGTGTCCGCAGTCTCTGGTAATCCTTGTACTGTGTCCACAGTCTCTGGTCATCTCCTGTACTAAGTCTGCAGTCCATTAGTTCAGAATTTTTTTTTTTCTTGTTTTTCTGCCTCTAAAACCTAGGTGCGTCTTATGGTCAGGTGCGTCTTATGGTGCGAAAAATACGGTAATTTAAAGGCAGAGGTTACTTGAAACCTGGAAGTTATTTTAAGGTTTCTTCCATGTGAAAAAGGTTAGACTAGTCTAGAACTTCTCTGCATACTGCAGCATTAATGGTACCCTTCACTGGAAACACCTGAATTCTAATAATTTAGAGGGTATCCACGTACCACATAGTGTATATATTTCCTTGGACTGTTGTTAGGACGCAGATTTCTATTTATTGTATTCTAGGTTGCCATTTACAAAGACTCATTCAGCATACGGTCTTTCTCCCTAGGTCTTTCTTTAACTCCGTGGGACCAACAGTAGGAATATTAGCATAATGGGCAGTTCCAGTGACACAGAAGATGTCCATGTGGCTGTGATTCGACCGAAAAAAACCCAGCAAGTCTCAATTCACGGGAATACAGAGCTAAGCTATATGAAGTAAGTTTGTTTTCCTAAAAGAGGTTCTACCCCGGTGCTTCTAAGACTGAGAACTCTGCTCTGCCTCCCCTTCCCCAGCGCTCGCTGAAGCGCTGGGCTGTGGAGGGGGTGGGAGCAGCTGGCTCAGGGTATTGGCAGCATGCTGAGAAGCTGAGCCAGGTACCAGTCCCGGCATCTGGGTGAATCCTGAAATTAAAGTCAGGATCTCTCCAGAGTCTGGATCGGCTCTGTGACGTTAGCAACAACAGGCTGTAGCCAGCTAAAAAAAAATGGGTCACAGGAGTTCAGAACAACATGCAGTCCTGGGACCTACAGACGTATGGCCAAAAGAGCTTTGGCTCTACTTCTCCTTTTAACCAATATGGCTGTGCGAGTCACAGAATTGGGTGCAGTCTTAACAATGTACGTGCAAACTTTTTAAAATGGACCAGTCCAGTGTGAGCTTTTAAAGTGTGACTTATATAGTTTGACTGACTTATCATTATTATTATTTTTTTAAATCCAACTTCTGCTTCCCCTCTCCATGCTCCAGCGCTGTCCCTGGCTTCCTCCTCAGTCCAACTCCAGCAGTCCTATTTGAACAGGACGACAGTCATTTACCTTGAGCCTAGCCTGTCATTTTTCATGCCCCATACTTGGCACATCATCACCCGCTCAGACTGAGTGTGGCGCGTGTTTGTGTGTAGTATTGGGTTATAGTAGTTTAACAATTGTCAAATTGTATTGTAAGCCTCTGGTGAAGAAATACATTGCGCAGGCATGGTCCACCATTGTCATGATCAGGAAACTGGTTGAGAGCATTGCTGTGTGGCCAATGTTGCAGCAAGACAGGAAGTGGTTTAAAATGGCTGCAGGAGGAATAAAAATGTGAAAACATTCTTTTATCAGAAAAAAAAAGTTGTTTCATTAACAGTGCTTTTGCAAACTAAGTGTTGTCCAGTTTGGGTTTAGATTTTCTTCTGCACTGTAGTTGCAATAATAAAATATTGATTAACACTTCAGAGGATACATGTGGAGAGGAAAACGACTGACTGAAATTGTCCTTTGATTGCAGATATTAATGATCGAGGTGCCAGTAGAAGGGCAGAAAAAGAAGAGAAGGAAGATGTTACTGGAAACTAAACTGCAGGGGGAAAAAGACAAATCCCAGGAGATCCTCCAGTATGTGCTAGACTCCACCAAGCTAAACTCACCAACCAACCAAGGGGTGAAAGGTGAGTTGGAGCTGGGAATGGGCTGACATCAGCTGCATGATAAGTCTGCTATGGTACTGAAAGCTGAACATGGCTGTTAAGACTCCAGTTTTTTTTTTCCCTTCTTGCATTCTATGCATGAAGAGAAAAGACCTTCTGTGTGCAGTAGCCTCACCCCCATAATACTTTAGCTTCATCGCGATCCATCCATGTGCACGAGAGCCTCGGCTCTCCAGGGACTCTCCCTCCTTATTGGTTGAGACAGCAGTAGGAGCCATTGGCTCCCGTTGCTGTCAATCACAGCCAGTGATCCAGTGAGAAAAGGGGGGTGGGGCAGAGCCACAGTTCTCTGTGTGAAAGGACAGGCCGAGCAGTAGCACGGGAGTGAGCCTGCTTGGGTGCCCCATAGCAAGCCGCTTGCTCTGGGGACACTCTGCAGGAGGGAGTGGCCAAAGCTTCGGTGGGGGATCCAAGAAGGAGATTTGGGGCTGCTCTTTGCAAAACCACTGCACAAAGCAGATACTGTAAGTATAACATGTTTATTTTTTTAATTGCTTTTAAAATTACTTTATTTTATTAATTTTTTTTTACAATACACCACCAAACACATTAGCTATGCAGCTGCCTGCGGGTAATTGGAAATATACAATTACCTGCAGGCAGCTGCTTTTGTTAATACTTTCTGTAGTGTCAACTTTATACCCACCAGCTACTGCCTGAGCAAGCAGTTTCAATTGACCTGTGAAGGTCAATTGAAAGGCACGCCGCTTGGCCACCTCCTTCTGTCCTCTCCTCCTCCATTCACAAAACTTGTACTGACACTCTCACATAAAGCATTGCTGTCTGTAAATGGAGGAGAAGCAGTTGAATGACAGGAATCTCTACCACCCATTCACAGAACTCAATGCATTGTAAGACAATAATAGTATGAGTTCTGTGATTGGCCGAGGGCAGAAGTCCGTGGATGAGCAGCGCACATTTTCTCAGTAGCAGTGGCCTCTGTGAACTTTCATAGTGTTGGAATATAGCTGCTCAGGGCAGTAATGGGCGGCTGTGAAGGAGACACTGCAGGGATCATTTTTAGCAGAAGACAACACCTGCGATATGCACACATTTTATTAATATTAAAGTTCAGCTTTCATAGTGTTTACTGATTCCCCCATGCATTGACAGGCAGTTGAGATGATGGACCTCAATTACAACCTGCATGAAATAATGACAGTTGGAGACGATAGTAATTTATAATCTGTAGTGCTGGCCTAGGGTTGCCCGTTTATGTAAAACCACCATTTTCAGCACCTACATGTTTTTCTGATTTTACAAATTCATTGTATTTTGGGGTGTAAGCCAGTTGCTCCTGTAGATCCTGAATTTCTTTCTGTTGTGAGCCATCATTCTGTATGTGTCCTTTGTCTGCAGGGAAGAGGGTTGTGTTAATGAGGACGTTCCCCCTAGAAGGGGAGAGGTCTGGGAAAGAAGCGACTTTGTTCCTGGTTCCAGCCTCTGTTAAAGGTAAAAATTGTTCTAGTGCTAATTTGTATTTATTTGTTTGTATTATTTTAAAGTTTGTTCACCATCACAGAGAAAAAAAGGAAAAGGTGAACAAATGCCATACATCCTAGTGTTCCCCCACTGTGCTTTCCTCTAGGATGCTGAGAATCCCCGCTCTTCTCCCTCTTCTCTGTGTTTTTTGCTTCTGAGACAGATCACAGCAATTCACTGTGCAGGTTTTGACCAATCAGAATCACTTTGGTCCGTTCCAGAAACATTGTACAGAGAAGAGGAGGGATTTTGAATCTCTGGACCACTGGACCAGCTGCATGGGCACTGACAGTTACAGAGGTGACCAGGCAGTGGGGAGGGTATATGGTGTTTACCTTTTAATTTTTTTCTGTAAAGGTGAACATAACACTTTAGACAGCAGGTATATAAGGGTCGTCATTGCTGACCTCCATTTGAAACTTTTTGCATGGCGATCCGTGGCTTTAGTATGTCCTGAGTCAGAGCTGCAGAAATGCATGCAGCAAAATTTAGTCAAAACTGTTCTCAGTCAGTGAAAAAAAGGGGCCCCCCCCCCCCCCCCGCACTGTTAAAAATGAAAAGGAAAATAAAACCAGTATAATTGAAAGCAGCTCCCACCCAACTGTGCAATCAATTACTCTGTACCAAGATACATAAATGAATAAACCAGTGATGCACTTCCCCAATAGAGCTACGATCTTAAAGTAACATTCTCTCAATAGATATATCTATATCATAGATAGATAGATAGATAGAGAGAGAGATATATATACAGTTGTGTCCAAAATTATTCAACCCCCAATGCTGTAAAGGGGTTTTATAGTGTACATTTGGAATTGTATTCAGAATCAAATCCTACAAGGACGTTGTAACTACCCAAATGCAACTAAAATGACATCAATTGTTTATGTATACAGTAGTAAATGTTTCTTATGTGGTTTCTTCATTGCCACAATTATTCAAATAAAGGATACCCACTTGAAGAACAGAGGTTCATACAGGTGCTTTCCATCAGGTATTGAAAACACCTGTGGATGTCACCGAGCAGCAATCAAGCATAATAAGCACCAATTAGGCAGCTTTAAAATGAATGTGATACTCAGCTCCTTCTAGACATTTACTGGTGTGGTTACAAACATGGTGAGGCAAGAGAATGGTCCAGGAAGACCAAGAGAAGAGTTTGATTTCTCTTCACAGGAAAATGGCTATAAGAAGATTGCAAAGATTGTTAAACATACCAAGAGACACCTTAATGCATCATTCGCAAATTCTACCTGGTCGTGGCAGAAAGAATATGCTGACTTCGACTGCTGTGCGCCCTGAAGCGTAGAGTGGAGAGAAGTCCCCGTGTGACTGCTTAACTGATCAGATGTGGGTACAGAAGTTTCAGCCCAGACAATAAGACGCACACTGCGTAATGAATGCCAAACTCCCAGGCGTACCCCCCCCCTTGCTGTCTCCAAGAATAAGAAGATCGACTGCAGTATGCCAAAAGCCATGTGGACAAAACCACAAAAGTTGTGGGATAGTGTTCTGTGTGACTGATAAAACTGTTTGGGCCCATGGATCAACGCTATGTTTGGAGGAGGATCCAACAAGAGCCTATGATGAAAAAGAACACCTTGCCTACATGGTGGAGGGTCAATCATGCTTTGGGGCTGTTTTGCTTCTTACAGGGAAAAGGTACCATGAATTCTCTTCAGTACCAGGAAATATTGGATGGAAACGTGATGCAGTCCGTCACACACCTGAGGCTTGGGAGACGTTGGACCTTTCAACAGGACAATGATCCCAAGCATACCTCCAGTCCACTAGAGCATGGTTGCAGAGGAAATACATTTTGGAGTGCCATCGCAGTCACCAGACTTAAATCCGATGAGAACCTCTGGTGGGACTTAAAGAAAGCAGTTGCAGTGCGCAAGCCTAAGAATGTGATGAACTGGAGGCCTTTGCCCATGAAAGATATGGGCGAAGATACCCGTAGATCGCTGCAAACTTGTGTCAAGCTATGGCTTCACGTTTAAAAAGCTGTTATAACTGTAAAAAATGCTGTAAAAGTACTAAGATTGAATGTCACTTGGGGGTTGAATAAAACTTAATGCTGTGAGCACAGGAAAAAGACATTTGTGGTTATTTCATTATAACTGTTATGTTTAGATTTGTCTGACCTACAAGTGCCACTTTAATGTAAAATGTAAGCAAGATGACTATGATCAAAGCAATGTCAAACTGGCCAAAACACTCAATTTCAGTGGGGGTTGAATAATTTTGGACACAACTGTATCTATTCTCTATCTTCAAAGTTTATAAAAGTGATAAAAAATATGTGATCAGAAAAGTCTTTAAGCAAATTGTCCAATATAAGAGTCACATACACCATCCAATCTTCATGTGAGATCCCCAATCACCTTTAACATTCCTTCCATATTCAAAAGATCACAAAATATATTCTCTACCGTGAAGATCATCAAAGTACCCTTTACCATTCTTTATGGGTATCTTCTAACTGGTCTGATGGACCCCACTACAACAAAGTATGTCAAATGTGCTTTAACATGTATAGATCTCTTATCACCCAATCCTCCTGAGACTTTGGTCACCGTTCTCCCAGGGATAGAGGTGGCATAAAGGAAGCATAAAACAAACGAATAATGCAGACTGCTGATCTTTTTTTATTTTTGAAAAGTTAAAATGCACTCTTGTGTACTAAAAATTCCGGCATATAAAACAGGATGCAAAGATTCGGCATACAAACATGGGGTCCTGACTCCCCTAGCATGATGACGACCCGCCTGAAGTGTTTTTTTTTTGTTTTTCTAACAGAGTGAGGGTGAAAGGGTTAAAACTTCAGGTTCTTTTTCTTCCGTTCTAGGGAGACATCCCTTTACTCCCTATCCTAGATACGCAACAGGGAATGAGAGGAAACCTTGCCAAATTCCCATCATAGAGAGCTGTCATTGGAAGGGGTGTCCCAATGAAAGGATTTTCCTCACTTCCTTTGGTGACAAGTCTAAGAATTTTGGATTTCCCCCTTGTTTTTTGTTCCTTTTTTTTTTTTTTTAATCTCTCACACAGGCAACAATAAAACTTAAAAGGGTTTAAACCCTTTTGACATTCTATCCAAAACAAATTATTATATATATATATATATATATATATATATATATATATATATATATATATAAAATTTGTGAGGGATTAGGCAAGTAGCGGGTTGTGCTTGAACCCCTGGATGGGTCAGGGCACCATGAAAGAGGCTCAGCATGACAGCTGGATATTAGTGAATAAAGTGGTGCTTTATTTACAAGTCTGGTGAACACACTGTGCATATAGTCAAAACAGCAAAAAAAAATACAAATAGAAAATAAAGCCTTGCCGCACTGGGCATCTAACTGCAAACTCAGGTTCCTATCTAGCTGTCTGAATACAGCCTATCACTGCTCAGACACAGGGGGCTCACACAGTCTAAGATCACACAGATTTTCCCTCACCACAGGATGGTTTGGTTGTTCCCAAGTCTGTCCTACACAGCAAACTGGTTCCAGGTTGGATCATCCTCCCTAAGCAGCCTGGGAGTTTTATAGAGCCCAGAGCCCTTAACTCACTACACCTGAGCTCATTAAATTGTCAGACAGCCAGACAGGCTCACTATACAGCACCAAAGGAGAAGGCCCGGTTAGGCATGTCAAGGTGTTGTCAGGAATATTGTAACCGGGCTTTTTTGTGGCATTGGTGCAATAAAAGCTTCTTTCTGGCACCTCGACCAAACAGCTCATTTTTGTTCAAGTATCACCATATTGTACTCCTTAAAAACAACCACACCATCTTTTTCCAGAGCAGCCTGTTTTTTCTTTTGAGGTTGCCTGTGGGTTTTTCTTTGAATCCTGGACAATTCTTATGTCGGTTATGGCTGCAATCTTTCTTGGTCTACCTGACCTTGACTTGGTATCAAGATCCCTGAACTTTCCACTTCTTAATAGGTGATTTAACAGTACTGATTGGCATATTCAAGGCTTTGGACATCTTTTTATCTCCTTTTCCATCTTTATAACTTTCCATTACCTTGTTACGCAGGACTTTTGACAGTTTTTTTCTGATCCCCATGGCTCAGTATGTAGCCTAGTCAGTGCTTCCACGTAAGAGCTAACAAACTCATTGACTATTTATACGCTGACACTAATTGCAATTTAAAAAGCCACAGATGTGGGACATTAAACTCTAATTGGCATTTTAACCCGTGTGTGTCACCTTGTGTGTCTGTACCAAGGCCAAACATTCCAGGAGAGGGAAACTTTTGATCATGGCCATTTTGGGTGATTTCTGTTATTATGATTTAAAAAGGAGCCAAACAACTATTTGATAATAAATGGTTTCATATGATCATTATCCTTCAGTAAAAGAGCATTATTTGGCATGATCAGTCATATTTCAGTATAAATGCGAAAACTTCACAATTTCTGCCAGGGTATGTAAACTTTTGAGCACAACCGTGTGTGTGTGTAACTTCCACTGTTCCTGATGACTGCCATTTCTTAATTACATTCCGAACAGAGGATATTGACATCTGAAAACGCTTTGCTATCTTCTTATAGCCTTCGGTCAACTATTTTCAGTTTTCTAGACAACTGCTTAGAAGAACCCATGGTGCTGATTGTTGGGGCAAGGTCAGATGAGTCTGGGCATTTAAAACCTTTGAGATTGACATCACCTGGTCTTCCCAGATGATGATTGAGAACAATCCATGACACTGGCAGGTCTCAGCTTTGCAAAGGGGGCAGTGCATGCTATAAATTCTGCTGGGTGCCCAAACTTTTGCAGACGCCATTTTTTTGTTTTCTGTTATTTTGAAAGTGTAAATGATGGAAATAAAATCTAACTTTTGTTGACATATTATAAGAATGTCTAATCTGTAATTTGATGCCTTTTTGGAGATTTTTTCCATCTTTCCTTGGCTTCTTTATGCACATTAATACAAATTTTTAGCTGGGGTGCCCAAACTTTCGATCCCCACTGTATGTGTGTGTGTGTGTATATATATATATGTATATGTGTGTGTATATGTATGTACGTACACACACACACACACACGCTTTTGTTAGCTGTCATGAATATCTGAAATAACTCATCACCTGGTAATGTGATGCTCAGCAAAGAAGTGGGAGCTGTACAAGAAGGGATTTTTGACAATGATATCTGCTTGTGATCCATACCACTTGCCGCTGATGCAGTGGGCCCGGTATATGATGCGGGGGGCTGAGAGGCAAAGCCCTGGAGGCCTATGCGGAACTAAATAGAAGAAGAATGATGATATGAGACCATAAAGGATTTCCTAATCATGAAGTATCAGTTGACACCAACAGCATAGCTCAAGAATCGTGGGTTGCTGAAAACTCTTACATGATTGTGTTTAGCTGTCTGCACACCACCTTTTGGCTGTAGACTGAAGGACTTAAAAAAAAAAAAAAATAAGATTCCTATGAGTTCCTGGAAGACCTGATGATCCAGGAGTTACTCCTGTACATCTGTCCTATGGAACTCCAGCACTTTGTGATGGAGTGAAAGCCTGCATCTGCCAAAGTGAAATGGAGAGAAACCACCAACAGTAACACCTGCTACACCTGTAAACAAATGCAACCTTCACCCAGAGCTCCTGGTATGAAGACAGCATTAGCTGAAACCTGGAGATGCAATACTTGTGTCAAGTTCAGATATCTCAGGAACCCCTGCCCTGAGCAGAAGAAGCCAGCCTCACCTGGTCAGCTGTCAGCACTCCTACGGTCTGTTATTGTTGACAACCAAACCATGACCTGCTTCAGAGACACTCATTTGCTTTGAGCTGGTGGACAAAAGGACATCATCCCATAGAAATGCCTTACACTTATTGGAGTTGGGGAGGAAACCCGCTTATGTGTACCTGGTGCATGGGTTTTCATTGATTAGGGAGTGGGATCAGTGAAAGGATGATTGAATGTTTATTGTGTACACCTATTAGTGCTGGTGTGTGTGGGTCTTTTCTTAAGTTCTAACTTGTAGCCAGAACTGCAGGAAAGAAAATAGCTCAAATCCCCCATCAACACTGAATCTCTCCCACAGCGCTATTGTGTTCTGCCGGCAGAAAACAATCACTGCGGTCAGCTATAGCCGCCAGCAGTTATCGCATGGAAAGTAGAAAAAAAAAAAAAAAAAAAACCAGGCTGGTTGTACTGATGTTGCTCGATGGATCGACAGCAGTACAACCAGATTGCCAATAGATAGATGGAATCTTGACCGGTTCCTACTGAACTGGCTGAGATTCTGTCGATCTATGCCCAGCTTTATAGAATAAATTCTATATGTGGTGCTCTCTCAGGTAGCTTTCTGAGTCCCAGGCCAAAGCAACATCTTTATCCAGCCCCTCCTTATTTATCCCACCTGCTGCTGGTCAGAAGTGGGAGGCAAAACCTAGCTCAGTCCCCACACTGCCAAGGTGGCCTGCAAGACACAAATCGGATTCCACCTTCGCTCCCCATATACAGGGGAGCCCATGGAACACAGCTCACTTTGGAGAGGTGGGGAGACCCCTGTCTCAGCTCCCCATATCCCTATTATGTGTAAGTCACCCTCTGCCTGTTAGGGGTACAGGGTGATCTGTCATAATATTGGGGTGGGGGATTGTTAATTGTTTAATGCCACGTGGTTGCATCCCATTGTTCTATTGTGTGTCTTGCTTGGGAGCAAACTATTATGGGATGTATGTGTTTGTGTATTGGCTTGGTGGGGGGTGTTTCCAGCCGCCCTCTCTTCTGATGGGACTGTCTGCTGGTGTGTCTTGTTGCTAAGTGTAGATTACCCCGCCCTGTGTCATTATGCAGGGAGGGGGATTGTTCCCTGAGTGTATAAAAAGCCAGTTCCAGTTTCAAATAAAGAGTTCCATGTTTATACAGACTTGTGTCGTCTAGTCTTGTTTGGTCAGCTGTGGTGTCTGTGGTCCGTGTTCGGACGGGAAGCTGTATTATAACGGAGGTACCCAAGTGCAGTCGGGGTCCGGTTCCGTTACATTCTGTAACCAATGTGTCAGTATGTAACCAATGTGTCAGTATGTTTTGCAACAATAAGGTTGCAAAGATCTTGAGAGCGCTTTGATTTTACCCATCATGAGATGTGCGACACCTTGGTATTGAGACACCTTTTTACAGGCCATCAGTTGAGACTGAACCAGCTGATATTAATGTGCACTGACAAGGGGCAGGATTGCTTTCTAGTTATTGATAAATTTCAGCTGGTGTCTTGGCTTTCCATGCCTTTTTGCTCCTCAGTTTCTTCATGTGTTCAATACTTTTTTCCCTCTGTCATTCCATTTTATTACACATAACTTAATTTCTGAATTAATGTTCTGGTTTCCTTGTATGTTTGGATTGCATGGGTTGTTGCCAACATGGTGAAAAATTTCATGTCAATAGCAGCTTTTAGAAATATATTTACCTAGAAAAATGGTGATGTGTTCAATACTTATTTTACCCGCTGTGTGTAGGCGTACAAGGTGAAACATACCTTCCATTAACCACCTTGCACCCCCCACTCTACTTGTAAGCTACTGCAACTGTTCAGACAAGGCAAAGGACATGAAAAGGGGCATCTGTTTGTCCATCCATCAACCACTTTGCCTTTCATTGTGTCATATATATTTATTCTCTTGAGATGGACAGTTGGAGGTATGTAGTTCTAGGGAGGGCGTAATGGACTTGCATGCACAAATACCCACTACATGTATCTCTGATGTACAAAATGTATTTGTTGAACCTGATGAATGTATTGCTTGTGTTAGTTGTTACTCATAGTGCTGCAGGGGTGCTGTCTGTAGTTGCAGAGGATGGTACCCATCACCCCTTTCCTTGTTTTCACTCGGTGTACTCAACCTCTGCCAAACCTCAGCTGCTGCTCTGTATCCTTTTTAATGCTTTCTCTTCAGACTCCCCAGGAGAGCAAGGATTTAAAGTGACAAATCCTATTCAAGAGCTTAATTTATGTTTTTATTATGTTCTTTTCAGATAATTCAAAGATGTCTTATAGCCCCGGTGGACCTGTGTTCTACTGTCTGCAGGATATCATGAGGGTGTGCAGCGAGACCAGCAGCCACTTCTCCACCCTCACTGCACGCATGCTTCTTGTCCTGGATAAGTAAGTAGTTTGTTTGCTGTGGACTAGTAAGGTTGGTTTTCTTTACAGATCATTCTCAGAATACTCACCTGCAGGAATGCTCATGTGTTTGATTAAAGCAGTAGTAAACTCTATTTAAAACTTGTACCTACATATGAGCATATAATAAGTTTTACCTGTAGGTTCAGTAAATCTCTTAACCGCCTCCTGCTTGCCATATAAGGAAATGATGGGCGGGCAGCGGCTCTCTTGTTCTGGGAGGACATCATATGACATCCTCCCCCTCTATCTGCGCATGCATGCCCCTGGGAGTGTGTGGCGATTGGTGGTGCGCTGTGTCCCTGTAACACAGCGGAGCACCGATCACAGTAAAGAGCTGATGACGTGATCGCATGTAAACCGGAAATGCCATTTATAGGCATTCCTCAATGGGGACATCTGCAATGGTCATCAGGGCACATGATCTGTAGCCCTATCAATGATCAGTGCACATCAATGCACATATCAGTGCACATCAATGCCACATATCAGTGCACATCAATGCCACATATCAGTGCACATCAATGCCACATATCAGTGCACATCACATATCAGTGCACATCAATGCCACATATCAGTGCACATCAATGCCACATATCAGTGCACAATCATCAGTGCACATCAATGCCACATATCAGTGCACATCAATGCCACATATCAGTGCACATCAATGCCACATATCAGTGTGCCACATCAGTGCACATCAATGCACATCAGTGCACATCAATGGCACATATCCGTGCACATCAATGCACACGTGCACATCAATGCCACATATCTGTGCACATCACTGCCACATATCTGTGCACATCACTGCCACATATCTGTGCACATCACTGCCACATATCCGTGCACATCACTGCACATCCGTGCACATCACTGCCACATATCCGTGCACATCACTGCCACATATCCGTGCACATCACATATCCGTGCACATCACATATCCTGCACATCACTGCCACATATGCACATCACTGTGCACATCACTGCCACATATCCGTGCACATGCCACACTGCATCACTGCCACATATCCGTGCACATCACTGCCACATATCCAGTGCACATCACTGCACATATCCGTGCACATCACTGCCACATATCCGTGCACATCATGCCACATATCCTGTGCACATCACTGCCACATATCCGTGCACATCACTGCCACATATCCGTGCACATGCCACATATCCGTGCACATCACTGTGCCCATATCGTGCACATCACTGCCACATATCCGTGCACATCACTGCCACATATCCGTGCACATCAATGCCACATATCGTGCACATCATGCCATATATCAGTGCACATCAATGCCACATATCAGTGCCGCCTAACCGTTCCAATCCGTGCCATATATGAGTGCTGATTTTCAGTGCCAGTCAGTGATGCCTGTCAATGCCCACCGGTGTCTCCTCATCAGTGCCGCCTATCGGTGCCCATAACTACAGACTCATTAGTGCACATCAGTGAAGGAGAAAAATTGCTTATTTACAAAATTTTATAACAAACTTTAAAAAAAAAAAAAAAAAAGACTGAAAATTTTGAAAAAAAAAAAGTTTTAGTTTGTTTAGTAAAGTACTGCTCGGACCTTGAAGAAGGGGACATACCCCGAAAGTTTGTCCTCAAATATGTTAGGACAAATAAAAAAGTATCACGGACAGTACTCAATTGTTTCTGTCGTAAGTGCACTAATACGGCTACAATCGCCTCAAGCAGTTTGTTTAGTAAAAACTAAAAAACCCAGTGGTGATTAAATACCACCAAAAAAAAGCTCTATAGGTTTAAAAAAAAAAGATAAAAATATTGTTTCGGTGCAGTGTTACATGACTGCGCAATTGTCAATCAAAGTGCGACAGCACTGAATGCTGAAAATTGGCCTGGGCAGGAAGGGGGTAAAAGTGTCCGGTAGGCAAGTGGTTAAACTGGTGCCCTGTAGGAGATATTCACATCGGCTTTAGTTAATTATGTTGCTACGCATGCACAGTGTGTGTGGCTTGAATGCAGAGAGTGCTATGCCGTGATGACTCCTTTGCAAATGCACGGGAGTGACATCATCACGACCTGGCTACTCAGATGGCTGGAGAACATGGAAGCAAGGCTGTACGAAGATATGAGCGCTGGCAATGGTGACTGCTCAGTGCTGGAGGGCTCCGTGTCAAAGCTAAGCCTGTCATAATGTGCTAGCATCCACATGTACACTGGTCGTCTTCTAGGCTGAATGACACCCAGCATCATCCATCTTCCTTCCGGTGACCCCAAGGCATCATTGACATACTCGCTGTGCATGTGTATGTGTGTTGTCATACAGTTCTCCTGGGTGGAATGGTACTTGCACGTTATTATGGGAACACAGGGCTGTAAAGGTGCCACTGAATGGGAAAAGGTAGTACCTGTGACTTTGCGACTGGCCTGCATACTTCAGACTTTAAAGGAGATGTCTGAGGTTAACCAAAAAAAAAACATACGTTCTTGCCACCATGCTGCAGAGCTACGCAACACTGCAGCTGTTTTACACTGGCTCTAAGAACAAAAGCTGACAGATGACTTTTCCGATAATCGGCAATCTGTCTGCTGGCAGCTCTGCTGTTCCAGTACAGTGCTCACTGGAGTGCCAGGCTAGGGAGGAGGAGGGTGCTGCTGGCTCCAGCTCACAGCTGCACCCTGAAAGGTGAAGCCAGCTGTCAACTGAACATATGAGTGAATGCGGACAATATTGTCAGGATCAAAACTAACTAGATGTAGCTCAGCTCTGTTGACTGATAAAGGGGTAATAGCCTGCTATCAGCGGACTCTGGACCACAGGATAACATTTAGTAAATGTACTGTAATCCAAAAGAGAAGTATAACAACAAAAGTGTTGGCCATACTTTTCTTTTATGGTATGCATAACGTAATTAAAAAATAAATGTTGAGGGTCTAATGATTGGTAAGCTGCAATATATTACATTTTTTGTTCTTGTGTTTTTTTTTGTTTTGTTTTACTGCACATTTAGGAAATGTGGCTGACCTGTTGCTTGCTATTTTTGCAGGTGGCTGGATGAGCAGCACACAAAGTCTCATGCCATCGCTGCACTGTTCCGCCCATCTCCTCTAGAGAGGATAAAAACCAACGTCACCAATCCAGCTTACTCCTCCGAAGATGGCCAATCCGAAGACACTCTGCACATGGGCTACACGGCTCTGGAAATCAAGAGCAAAATGATGGCACTAGAGAAGGCAGACATATGTATATACAACCCTCTCTTCGGATCCGACCTGCAGTACACCAACAGGGTACAACTTTCATGTACTAGTTGTTTTTTCCCAACATTGACTTATAAATAGGGTACATTTATGAAACATGCAGGATCCGCAAGGCCGCCCATATCCTTGGCTTCCTATAAAGTTTCTAGTTTAATCCGAGGTCTGTGCATCCGCCAGATTAAAGCGCAAAACACAGTATCAAATAGTTTAAAGATCCACACAGGAGCATTATGCAGTAATTGTGGGGCCCATATCATTTTGATTAAGTTTCACCTCCCTACCACGAAAAGAGGGAGTTTGGTTCAACTGGTTGTTTTGTGTTGTAATTTTTTAATTGTCAAAAGTAAGTTTTTTGGGGGTTTTTTTGGTCTATATATTTCAATAGAGTGGGGTGAATGATGATACCTAGATATTTAAATGAGTCCACTATTTCAACCTGTGCACCTTCAGGCAGTATGGAATGTGTAAGGGTGTCCCGCGGGAGAAGGGTGAATTTATTGAGAAGCCGGAGAAGGAGCCAGATTCTGTGATTCGCGTCATTAGGCATGTTACGAGGAGGATGTATCACCCAAAAACAAAAGGGTGTCATTGGCATAGAGCTCTACTTTTTCCATCTGTTCTCTGCAAAAACACACAATACCTGGATCCTCCCTAATGGCAGCCGCCAGGGGCTCTATCACTAAGGCGTATAATGGGGGAGAGAGGACAACCCTGCCGTGTCCCTCTTCGTAATGTGAATTTGGAAGATAGGGCATTATTACCCAGAATACGGGCCCAAATCATCTTTACAGTTACATTGATATATTGTTTTGAAATAACCATGTGTTCCTTCATTGTAGGTGGACAAAGTGGTAATAAACCCATATTTTGGGCTCGGAGCTCCAGACTATTCCAAAATCCAGATTCCAAAGAGAGACAAGTGGCAGAGGAGTATGAGCAGCGTCATGGAAGACAAGTATGGTCCATGTCCTCTTCATTTGATTTTAGTATTCTGAAGGTGTTTATAGACAAAGAACCGGGATGCTGGGATGGGTGGGCCATTTTTTTACCACCTGACTGCACAGAAACATGAGTGCTTGGTTTGGCTGACCATTTTCTAATACTGATGAGTGGAGGAGGGAGGGAAAGCTAGATGATCTCTTTGCTGCTTATCTTGGGAGAAACAGTAGCAATTGCTTAAGGCCAGGTTGACACTGTTGAGCTGCAGTATCATGTGCATTGCCCCACACCATGATGTTCTGCAGTGCCATTCACTCTAAAAGGCACCCCAACACACCCGATGTGTTGCAGCAGGCCACAAAACCTGGTAACGCACTACCATTTGCTGCATTACAAAAAATGTTCTTGCATTCTTTTGGTGCGTTAGACAAATGCAGGTACTGCTTTAACATACCGCACCTTAATGCGCATGCACCAATGCAGTGCCATAAATTGAACCCAACATAAAGCTTTTAGCTTAGGTTCACACCTTAGCAGGTTTGTGGATTTTTCACCATGCAATTTTCCTGCAGTTTCCGCACCCACAAATGAGCTGCGGTTTAAGATGCGTGGGGGTGCCATTAAGAATGAATGGAAACCCCGCATTTTTATAAACAGCAGCGTGTTTTAACTGTGGGTGGTTGCGGAAAACGCTGCAATTGCTGCAACTGCAGCCACCCGTGATGGTGTGCACCAGGCCTAAAAAAGCATTTCTGCTAGCATTTTACAATGCATTTAAAGTGCAGGCATTTTGTAGTACCCTTAGTCAACCAGTCGTTACACCTAAATGTCGGGCTCCTGAACACCATGGTAGTGTTTGCAGCTTACCCACCCCTCCCCTTGGCTAGTCAGACAAGCCATCATGGCCAAAGGCCAATAGTTGTGGGGGGTCAAAACTACGTAGATGTTCCTAAACCTTTGCTGCCCTTTACAATTACAGAGAAACCAATCTCAAATATAAAGTGCCAAAATTGCTTTTTTTAATTTATTTTTTTCCCCATATGTTATGCAAATGGTTTAGGAAAATCCAAAAGTATAGCTTTTTAAAGCGGAACTAAAGGTACAATTACTTACCTTACTTCCAATGGTCCAACGCCCATGAGGTCCCTTGCCGGTACCAAATTATTTTCCATGTGTTCTTCCAGTTCCCAGTCTTTGACCTATTTGGCTGCTGTGGGATGATATCACTAGATTCACAGGAGTGCAGTCATGCTGGGAATGTGCCTGTATGTACTGAGCTGTGCATGTGTAGCTCAGTGTATGTGCCACAAAGGACTGTGAGCTCGCAGGTAAATGTATTCTATTTCCGAAAAGATATTCGCGGAGATTTACTAAAACTGAAGAGTGCAGAGTCTTTTGCAGCTGTGCATAGAAACCGGTCAACTTCCAGATGTTATTGCAAAGCTTAATTTAATAAGCTGAAGTTAGAAGCTGATTGGCTTCCATGCACAGCTGCACCAGACTGAGTGCTCCAGTTTTAGTACCCCCACCCCTTGTATGTCTCTTCTGCATTAAAAATCCTGCCTGTTGGAAATTTTTTTTATATTTAGCCTTTAGTTCCAGTTTAAATAGTGCTGCTGCTTAAAGTATATCAAAAGCCAAAATGTGTATTCATTTTGGATGGGGTAAAGGAAGGTTGAAGTAGAACTAAAGGGAAAAACATTTTTTCATTTTAGATAGTCTGGGGGTGGTTATAATCCCTGTCAGATTTTTTTCTTTTTTTTTTTTTTTTTGTCATGTTTGCATCATTGGGGAGATTTCCACCCCATAGTCCTAACAGGAAGTGAGAGGAAATCTTTCAAAGTCAGGGAATCCCTGGTTGTCACCAGAATTAGCATCCCCTTTGAAAATGTCTACTCTGTTCTGGTGACATCTCCAAATTTTGGGATTTTTTTTGTTTACTCTCAGAGATGACGATAAACAGGACAAATAGACATGGTGAATTTCCCTAACTGGCACAGACAACATTAAAGACCTGATATGAGTTCTAATCCCCCTCCACTCTATCCAAAACTAAAGAAAAATGCCTTTTAAGTATACTTTAAAACCGCTGTCAGGATTTTTTTTTTTTTTCCTTCATCTTTGTCTCATTGGGAAGATTTCTCTTCACTTCCTGTCCTGTCAACTCAGCAGGAGGTAAATGATCTTTTTCCAGTGTGAGGGGATATTGGGCAGTAGGAGACTCCTCTATTTCCGTTCTGGTGGCAACTAATAATTTTGAATATAACCTTCACTTTAATTCCTGGTGACAATGGTGATTACGAAGGGATGAATGTCCCTAGTGGTGTAACAGAGCAGAACAGAGAGTTTTAACCCCTCACCAGTGATGCCAATAAAAAAGTTACACTTTAATGTATGTTTAAACATTTGTAAAAGTATTACACTGCAGTCTAATCTCACATTTAATTAGATGGTGTTTGACCATTTTAATTTATTTTTTTTCTTTTGACAAAATAAAGACAGTTGTGAACTTTAATGTATTTTAATTTTGTCTACTAGAGAGCGCCAGTGGGTGGACGATTTCCCCCTGCATCGCAGTGCCTGTGAAGGTGACACCACGCTATTAGGTCGATTGTTAGATGAGGGATTTTCAGTCAACCAATTAGACAATGACCAATGGGCGCCCATACATTATGCTTGCTGGTGAGTGTTCTGATGACTTTGTAGTGTGTCGGAGGAGAGTGCCTGAGCAAAAACTAAAGCTTGCTGGTAAAGGAGTCCCTGTTTATTTTTTATAAATATTCAGTAGAGAAGTTGGGACTTTCAGGGTGCATGAACATGAATATTAAACATTAAAAAGTTTATAAAAAAATTTTTTTGTATTTTTTTAAAAAATTGTGTTTTTAACAAAAATACGAAATAAAACTTATATTACTTTTTAATATGTTTAGTATTCATGAAAGTCCCATCTTCTCTATTGAATATTTGCAATTTTAAGGGATGTGGTGCAATAATCATATCTGGTCGCCCGCTCGCCACTTCACTGTTACTATTTTTTTAAATATATATAATTTTTTTTTAATTTAAATATTAGAAAGTCTTTGTACAGAGTTTCTACACCGTAAGCCCTAGTTCACACTGCTGCCACTTTATCATGCAACTTGTGACACATACAGTTTCTTGACAAGTCAGAATAAATTCAGTTCAATGGGTGCCATCATAACCAATGTGACTCAAATCGCAGTGACATGGAAAAAAGGTTTCTGCGCTACTTTACTGTGACTTTGGTGCAACTTGAGTGCCATAAACTGCAATGTTATATCACAAAAGTCGCAAGGAAGTCATATGCAGGTCACAACTTTGGGGGTCACAGCAGTGTGAACCGAGCCTAAGGCAAGTGGCATCATCAAAATTGAATGAGTAAAATTGTCAACATAGACATATACAACATAGACCACTCAAGAAGAAAAATTTAAATATCAATGCGATAACATAGCAGAAAGAACCTGGTAAATGTACGTACGTAGAAGGCAGCCCATAACTCGCCATTAGCTTGTGTAGATCACAAAGTAATAAAGCGGACAGCAGTAGAATGGTAATCACCGCTGCGAACCGGAGGCTGAGTGTAATCCTTTCCCTGTATTTATTTACGTGCGCAATTCGCCCTGTAATTTAGAAATAAACAGAATGCTATTAATGGTAGAAAAGATCACTGCTGGGCTTTCTTCCAGTGTTAAAAGCCAAGTTCACCTTTTTTGAAAAAAAGATTAAATGCACATTATTATTATTATACAGGATTTATATAGTGCCAACCGTTTGCTCAGCGCTTTACAATATAAGCATATTTTTGCAAGAGAAAAAAAACCTTTTTATTCTTTTTTTTCACAGAAGCCTGCAGAGCATTGCACCCGCAATCAGCAGATTACAGGTGCAATATCAGGCTCCTGCACACATTGCCTGCATCTCTGTTTACAGAGCTGTAGGCAGTGTGAATGGACTACAAGGGGCACTGATCAGCACGCTCACGGTCCATTGAGAACTACAAGCCATCTGCCGCGATGGAAGATGGGACTTTCTGTGAATGAATAACACGACTGTGTGGACAGAGACCCACACAGTTGCTCTGTTTATAAATTGTGATGACATGTCACACAGGGAACGGGGGTGTGGGAGGCAGGTCTGGAGCATGTTACACGTTGCACCCCAAATATGGGTGTAATGTGTAACATGCTCTAAAAGGTTTACAACCCTTTTTAAAGTGGTTGTAAAACTCAGACTTGAAATATGAACAGTACATATTCTTCTATAGTATGTACTTGTCTCAGTCCAGAGCAGGAAGTGTCATTTCTGTCTGCTTCCTTTTTACCTCTACTTTCTGCTTGAATTACTTCTGACAAGTTTTCCAAGTGCGAAAGACACTCCAGATTTTTTTGAAAATAACATCCAATTACACAGATGTTTTATGCATTGCCAGAGACCCACAAAACGTTGGTAGACCTCCCGGGCCATCCAATTGTATTCAGAATCAACAGTCTCACATCTAGGACTAGTCAGTTAGTTGATGACCATCTTTGTCCCCATGTGGAGAGGTTACCATCTTTTTTGAAGGATACAATCCACTTGCTAATGATTTGGGAGGGATTGATTGTTGACAAACACACAATATTTAAAATATATAAAATAAATATGCAGCGCTAATGTGAGTAAATAGATATAGATATTGATAAAATATTGAAACAAATATATAGCACAATGTTAAACCACATATGCTAGATAGCTCAGTCCTTATAGTAGTAAGGCAAAGTGATTGTGTGCTGGTGTTCCAGAGGTCCACGGTCAAAGATAAGGGTGACTCTCGTGCACTTGTGAATGTACAAACATTGTACTAACCAGATAGCGCATTAATTGCGCGTGGAGCAATTAAGACCTGCTCCTGGTGCTCTGGACTTGTGATACCAGGCAGATGTCATCCGCAGATCAGCCACTAGATGTCCTCAGTCTAGGTGCATACTCAATCATTCCACCAGGACCATCATCAGCAGGAGTAGGGGGAAGTCACATATTAATCCAGATTCCCAGGACCCTCAAAAACAGGCTCACATGGAAATAATGAGCCCCAAGAAAGCTTCTAATAGTGTAATAGGTCTATCTGCGGATATACATCTGTCCTGATTAATAGCCAGAAATCCAGCATAAACAAATAAATAAAAAAAAATAAACTTACATCAGGATCAGAGAAGGCCACCAATCAGGGTGGCCTTGTGGTATATGCACACAGGTCAGGGGCACCTCCCCTGACCTGTGTGCATATACCACAAGGCCATCCTGATTGGTGGCCTTCTCTGATCCTGATGTAAGTTTATTTTTCATTTGTTTATGCTGGATTTCTGGCTATTAAAGACCTATTACACTATTAGAAGCTTTCTTGGGGCTCATTATTTCCATGTGAGCCTGTTTTTGAGGGTCCTGGGAATCTGGATTAATATGTGACTTCCCCCTACTCCTGCTGATGATGGTCCTGGTGGAATGATTGAGTATGCACCTAGACTGAGGACATCTAGTGGCTGACCTTCGGATGACATCTGCCTGGTATCACAAGTCCAGAGCACCAGGAGCAGGCCTTAATTGCTCCATGCGCAATTAATGCGCTATCTGGTTAGTACAATGTTTGTACATTCACAAGTGCACGAGAGTCACCCTTATCTTTGACCGTGGACCTCTGGAACACCAGCACACAATCACTTTGCCTTACTACTATAAGGACTGAGCTATCTAGCATATGTGGTTTAACATTGTGCTATATATTTGTTTCAATATTTTTTCAATATCTATTTACTCACATTAGCGCTGCATATTTATTTTATATATTTCATTACTGGGTTTTAGAGGTTGCCTTTATGCTAGCGGCTTTTTATTACTGTTCCAAGCGCTCAATTACTACTTTTCCAAACACACAATATTGGCCTCTATTAATGTAGAATGCCTTTTATCCATGTGTTCCCCATGATAAAGGTGTGAGAGTAGTGGAAGGAGAGAAGTAGAGAATATCTATACAACACCTTTATTGTGAAATTGTTGGAATTCATTCTCACACATAACACCTTTATTTTCAACCACTCCCTCCAGGTGCAAGGGAGTACAGTAGCTATGGAGACTACATGTGCCCCATCATATGCAAATCTGTACCGGGGGGGGGGAGCGGTTGATTGTGGCAAAAATTTTCGGCTTTGATGAGATGATGAATTACTTCCACCATGTGCCTCTTATGGAGGAGATATATCGATGATATACTCATATTATGGACAGGATCCCAGAATTTGTTGGCAGAATTTGTTAGCTGTCTGAATAGCAACGAGTGGTATCTTCAATTCACTCTGAATTTTTTATCATACATCCCTACCTTTTTTAGATTTGATAATTAATAAGAATTCAGATGGTAGCATTTCCACTAATATTTATAGAAAACACACTGTGGGAAATTCTCTGCTGCATGCAGATAGTGCACACTCGAAACGTGGTAAGAAGCATTCCCGTAGGCCAATATCTACGATGGCGTAGAAATTGTTCTAGTAAGTCAGATTTTGAAATGCGAAATGGCTTTGTACCAGGGTGTCTCTAAGAGATTGTCCATGTTTTGAATGTTAAACGTGGGCAATTATCTATACAATGTCTAATTACCCTATCATCTGTTGGAGCTGTTTGCAAAGGAAGAGTGGGTCCAAAATTCCGGGTGTAAAGAGGTGTGCCAGTGTTTCTGCATAATGGCCCTAACTTCATCACTTTGGTTGTTAAACTGTATAATAGATCTAATTTTTTTTTTTTTCGTGTGTGTGTTCACCATGGAATAAAAGAATTTCCTGGGAGCTTGCTTTGACTATGGTATGTTCGTTTGAGGAATTTCTTAGTGTATCCATATCTAAGAAACCTATCCTTCAAAAGCCGGGCTTGTGTATATATATTTTTATTTTTTTTTTAATAACTTAAAGTGAAACTTCACCTAAAGTTCCACTTTTCTGCCTCCCACCCCCTCCTCTAACACTTTTGGACACAAGTTTTTATAGGGGAGTAGTGGGTACCCAGTTTTAACAGGCACTCGGCCCCCCCCATCTCTTAGACTCAAAGCGCAGCATGACTTGCATATAGTCAGTATGAAGCTGGCTGTAAAGTCACAAGCAACCACAGCCAGTTTCCATTAGTACACATGTCAGCACCAGGGACCTGAAGACAGATGAAGAACTGGCCCAGGTGAGGAAGACGCTGGATTCCTGGACAGGTAGGTGTTCTTATATCAAGGTCAGCAGCTACAGTATTTGTAGCTGCTGACTTTTTTAATTTTTTTGGGGGGCACGGAAGATCCTCTTTAACTATATTTTTCATCATATAGGGGACAAAAAGTCCCCTTTGTGATGCATGTCTGGTGACAGGTTCCGTTTCTAATGAGAGACCAGGGGTGTAAAAGACTGCCATCAAACATATGCAGACCCCCTCCAAGGTGGGGGCCTGAACTCCTGTTGGGTTTTTACTCCTATCCAAGGCTCCTTTGGAAAGATTTGGCCCGCACTCCCTGTCTGACATTATGACACAAGCAGCTGTTCTATGGGATTGGTGCACAGGTAGCACCTTACGTAGAGGAATATATTGTAATGATATCTCCTCCGTTTACAAGGTACGGGAAGGTGGAGGCCACCAGCATGTTATTAGATCAAGGAAAATGTAACCCCAACTTGCTGAATGGACAGCTCAGCTCTCCTCTACACTTCGCTGCTGGAGGCGGCCATGCTGAAATTGTGCAGATCCTCCTCAATCACCCGGAGATAGATAGGGTAAGTCTTGGTTTCTTGGTGTTCAGGATCATTATAGGAATACTGATTAGTTTCATACTTGCTAATTTCATGAGACTAATCGGCAGTTCCCTGTTTTGCCAGCATGCATGTCACAATAAAAACAGAGCTCTCCATTTCCTGCATTAGGAGTTATGGTCGATGGTATGCACCAACACATCTTATATGTCACACCAATGCTAAGTGTTCATCCCTGGAGTCATTCCCCCCCCCCCCTCCTTCCACACACACATCAGGGTCCCCATCGGAGTCTCCCCCTTATATCAGAGCTCACATTAAAGTTCCCCAACTCAGCCCCTCCATATTTCATCAGGGTTCCCATCTGAGTCATTACACCCGCCACCCACTTAACATGAGAGCCCTTTTTATAGTCATTATCCCTGCTCACTGCTAACATCAGGGTTCCCATCAAGCCCCCTCTTACACCAGGGTCCCCATCGGAGTCTCCCCCCCCCCCCCCCCCCCCCCCCCCCTTACATCAGGTTCCCATTGAAATGCCCCTCCTTACAGCAGGGTTCCACATCAGAGTCCTCCCTTTTAGGGGGGGATGTTGAAGCGGAGACCATAGGCAGCCTCTGCTAGCTGTAACATGCTGTTTTTCTGGTTGGCAAAACCGAGAAGGGTTTGATGGATGAACTTCCCATCTGCAGTTTCCTTTGCTGTATATAAATTGATGAGCTGTTTTCTCGCCTTGCGTGTCCTGTAAGTGTGCAGACTGCAGCTCGAACATAGTTTCCTTGTGAACGAAAGGCTATATAGTTTCCAGTCTAGACTGCAGTGTCCTTTTTTGTTTTGTTTTTTAAAGCACATCACCGACCAGCAGGGGCGCACTCCTCTAGATATATGTGAAGAAAACAAGCAGAGCAAATGGGAGGAGACAGTGGAACTGCTGAATAATTCCCTCAACAAACCCGTAAGATCACTTTCTTCTTTCACTTTTTTTTTTTCTTTTCTCTGTTGCTTGTTTTGCTTTCTCTTGTCTGTGTTTTTCTTTTTGTTTTCGTTTTTGCTTTTTTCTTTGTCTCTTTCACTTTTTACTCTTTTTGCTTTCTATTTTGCTGGGTTTTTTTTTTTTTCGCTTTTCCTTTTTTTTTTCTCTTTTGCTTTCTCTCTTTTTTGCTTTCTCCCTTTCGCTATTTTGCTTCTTCTTTGCTTTTCCATTTTCTATTGCCTTTTTCATTTTTTCTTTTGATTTTTTTTTTTTTTTTTGCTTGCTCTCTTTCACTTTTTCTACTTTTTGGCTTTTTTTTTCTTTCTCCCTTGCTGCTTTTCGCTTTCATTTTTTTTTCTCTTTTACTTTTCTCTTTCTCGCTCTTTACTCTTTGCTTTGGCTTTTTCCTTTTTCTCGATTATTGCTCTTTTACTTTTTGCCATTTCTCTTTCACCCCTTTTTTCTCTTAGCTGTCTGACATGTGCACAGACCTGCATGCTGGTGTTCTTGAGGAAGGCGTGTATGTCAGGGACAGAGGATTTTACCCAAGACAGTGTTGCCACACGGATTCAGCAGTTTATTGGCTGGGAAAATCAGTGCTGTCCAATAAATACATTTTAGATCTTTTTGAAATTGCCAAGCCCTAGCCTCATGGGCTATCCTCACTCAATTCAGACAGACACCTGGCATAGGTGCTGAAGCTATATTTACAAGAAATGCCAGTTCAGGTATGAATGAGGTTTATCCATGAGAACACTGTGAAGCTTAACTTGTAGCTTGGATCTACAGTGGGGATTGAAAGTTTGGGCACCCCAGCTAAAGATTTGTATTAATGTGCATAAAGAAGCCAAGGAAAGATGGAACAATCTCCAAAAAGAATCAAATTACAGATTAGACATTCTTATAATATGTCAACAAAAGTTAGATTTTATTTCCATCATTTACACTTTCAAAATAACAGAAAACAAAAAAATTGTGTCTGCAAAAGTTTGGGCACCCTGCAGAGTTAATATCTTGTACTGCCCCCTTTGCAAAGCTGAGACCTGCCAGTGTCATGGATTGTTCTCAATCATCGTCTGGGAAGACCAGGTTATGTCAATCTCAAAGGTTTTAAATGCCCAGACTCATCTGACCTTGCCCCAACAATCAGCACCATGGGTTCTTCTAAGCAGTTGTCTAGAAAACTGAAACTGAAAATAGTTGACCCTCACAAAGCTGGAGAAGGCTATAAGAAGATAGCAAAGCATTTTCAGATGTCAATATCCTCTGTTCGGAATGTAATTAAGAAATGGCAGTCATCAGGAACAGTGGAAGTTAAAGCAAGATCTGGAAGACCAAGAAAAATATCAGACAGAACTGCTCGCAGGATTGTGAGAAAAACAATTCAAAACCCACGTTTGACTGCACGATCCCTCCAGAAAGATCTGGCAGACACTGGAGTTGTGGTACACTATTCCACTATAAAGAGATACTTGTACAAATATGGTCTTCATGGAAGAGTCATCAGAAGAAAACCTCTTCTACGTCCTCACCACAAAAATCATCGTTTGAACTTTGCAAATGAACATATAGACAAGCCTGATGCATTTTGGAAACAAGTTCTGTGGACCGATGAAATTTAACTTTTTGGCCGGAATGAGCAAAGGTACGTTTGGAGAAGAAGGGGCACAGAATTTAATGAAAAGAACCTCTGCCCAACTGTTAAGCATGGGGTTGGATCAATCATGCTTTGTGGTTGTGTTGCAGCCAGTGGCACAGGGAACATCTCACGAGTAAAAGGAAAAATGGATTCGATAAAATTTCAGCAAATTTTGGATGGTAACTTGATGCCATCTGTGAAAAAGCTGAAGTTAAAGAGAGGATGGCTTCTACAAATGGATAATGATCCTAAACACGCCTCGAAATCCACGGGGGATTACATCAAAAGGTGTAAACTGAAGGTTTTGCCATGGCCTTCACAATCTCCTGACCTCAACATAATTGAAAATCTATGGATAGACCTTAAAAGAGCAGTGCGTGACAGACAGCCCAGAAATCTCAAAGAACTGGAAGACTTTTGTAAGGAAGAATGGGCAAAGATACCTCAAACAAGAATTGAAAGACTCTTGGCTGGCTACAAAAAGCGTTTACAAGCTGTGATACTTGCCAAAGGGGGCAGTACAAGATATTAACTCTGCAGGGTGCCCAAACTTTTGCAGACGCCATTTTTTTGTTTTCTGTTATTTTGAAAGTGTAAATGATGGAAATAAAATCTAACTTTTGTTGACATATTATAAGAATGTCTAATCTGTAATTTGATGCCTTTTTGGAGATTTTTCCATCTTTCCTTGGCTTCTTTATGCACATTAATACAAATTTTTAGCTGGGGTGCCCAAACTTTCGATCCCCACTGTATATTAACTAACAAAAGGAAAAGCTTTGGGACTGAAAATTTTCAACAAAGGACCAAGAGCCATATTCTGCTCATGGAGACCTGGTCTACGCCATACTTATATTTAATACCTTGCTATCCTGTCGCCCAGTACAGATATTTATATAGAGTACATCCATCTCCCAGTGTCCTTGATTATAAATCTATGTGGAGTTGTGTTGCTCTGTACACACAAGTGCTTGGCATTTGCGGTGCTTTGGGTGCCTTCATTTTTTAATAGAGACTGATGGGGGGCTGCCTGTGTGGAAGGTGTACCTTTTTTGTTCTGAATGTGTGTGAAGTTTTTAAACTTCAGCTTCTCTGCCATTATTCTTTTCTCATGTGACCTCCTATGAACACCTTCATTGATGACACTTTGTCTTTCTCTCCATCAGTATGAAAAGGTGCGCATCTATCGGATGGACGGGTCCTTACCGCTCGGTAGAGTTGAAGCATGGCAATAATACAACTGTGCAGCAGATTATGGAGGGGATGCGTCTGTCTCAGGAAACTCAACAATTTTTTGCCATCTGGATCTGTTCAGAAAATATCAGTAAGGGGATTTGTAATTGCAGATAGCAGCCAGCCTGTTCCTCTGGCCACTCCTGAGCACAATGTGCAATAGCTTAGTCGGGACACAGCTTTCTCTTATCTGAGCTCTGTGACATTAAATCTGATTGGTTGCTGTTGACTTACTCTATAGATTATCACATCTCTTTACATTGGTGTCTGACCCTTTTGGGAACACTCCCTCTCTCTTCCTGTTGGGTCACTAGGGCAGGAAGTGAGGCAATTTCATAATTAGGGACTTGGGAAGGATTTTTTTTTTTCCCTGTTGGAGCAAATTGGACCTTGCTTTATAAGGGTTTTTGTTGTCTTTAGATCAACTGGGGGTATTGGGTTCTACAGAGGTCTTCTATTTTTTTTATTTATTTATTTTTATATTGGTTGAACTTAAGGGACTTGACTTATTTCAACCCTAATAACTATGTAACAAGAATAGAAACCTGACAGGGGATCTATCCTTTCCCCAATATATGCAAACTTTGAAATGTTAAAATACCTTGCACAAGATTTTAGGATTATTATGTTTGCTTGGCTGTATCAATGGATCTGAGAGCTGGACAGGACTTATTTAAACTCATGCAGGAGCTGCCTGCCTCTAGCAGTTTATCTCGGATTTACATGCAGTGCAGCATAGAAATCACAATTTATGGGTTCTGGCAGCAAAAAGTCGTTAAGTCAAACGTGTCTCTAAAGCAGATGCCTTTGTTATTCGCACAGTCCTAGTTTTCAGTTGATCATAAAATGAGAACACTCAACCTCCTCCACCCATACTCCATATTCTATCAACAATGGACACTGGCGCTCACTAAGGCTCCTGTTAGCCAGACCAAATGAGAAAAGAGAGTCAGCACACGGTCACAGATCTTCTATGCTTCTTTTATTGGATCTTGGGGTTGCATTCAAAGCATGACAGGGAGACTAACATATTTTGGCTGGTATGGCCTTACTCATAGCTGAAGTAAAGCCAATCTGGATGAATCGCATTCAAGTCTCTATCAAGCTTTGACTGTAAACTGAATATCTTTAAACTGAATATCCAAAAAAAAACTGAAGATCAGTGACCATTTGCCAACTCTGTCTCTTCGTTTTGGGTGATTGCCTGGTTTTCAGCAAAAGGATAAGTACAGCCAAAGCTTTTTGTGGCTGTACTTCTTCTGTGGATCACAGAAGTGCAGTTCGTTCTGCACTCTTGTGACCCATTTTCAGCTGACAGCAGACTGAAGTCACTTAGCCAGTTCAGCCTGGGGAAAGATCCCGACTTTAAAGTCAGGATCCACCCCAGAGTCTGGAGCGGCTCCTAGCTCAGCCTCTCAATGAAGCAGAGAGGCTGAGCCAACCGCTTCCTCCCCCTCCACAGCCCTCCAGTGAGCTCCGGGGGGGCTGAGCAGACAGAGGTGACTGACAGTCCCGCTTACTGCTCAGAGCGGCTGTGAGAAATCAGCGGTCATGTGATCGCTGAGTTCTCACCCTTATAGCTGGGGAGGACAGATGCAGCATCGAACTAATACTGCATCCACCTAGCAAAGTATAAATAGGGAAAAAAAATCCTTTTTTTTTTTTTTTTTAATCTGTGCAGACTGCAGACAGCATTGATGTAAACGATGCATTGTTTACACAGGACCCAAACAAAAGATGAAGGTTATGTTTTTAAAGCTTTTTGCTCTACCTAAACATGTTAGAACAGTTTAGTTATTCTAAAAGTACAGTTGGCCTTTACATCCACAAACTGCTACTTAAGTTGTGTTGCAATAATCTGCAGGACGCTTTAAACAGTAACCCGGGCCAAGCACTTTGCAATTTGCTTGCTTTTAAGTGCCAGTATTTCTTGGTTTCAGAAAATTAAATGAGGAAAAATTGAGGAGTAAAATCAAAGAAGATGCCATTTTGTGTAGCGTTGAGATGGTTTCATACAATTTTCACCCATTTTCGATCATTTGTTCACTAAAACGTGCAACAATTGTAGCTGAAAGCCAGAAAAATTGCCTCTAAATTGCTCTGTCTATGACAAGCATTATTGCACTTTCACAAAGACACTTGGCTTTGAAATTGCATTGTGCTCGTGTTTCCTGAGTTTTCCAAAGTTTCCTTTTTTTGTTACTTTTAATTTTTCCAGGCCTGCAGCTAAAGCCTTTCCACAAACCGCTGCAGCACATCAGGGACTGGGCAGAGATTGTTAATGAGCTCACCAACCTGGACCCCCAGAGGGAGACTCCTCAGCTCTTTCTACGCAGAGACGTGAAGTTACCGTTGGACGTTGAGAAAAAGGTGAGGCGGTAAAGACCATCTCCCCCTAAAGAAAACTATAAAAAGTAGAAGCCAAGTTTATTCTTTTTTTCTGATTAGACTACTTTAAATGGAATAGGTGTTGTTTTACTCGTGTATTCTTTTTTTTCTGTCTTCATATTTTCTGTATGCATTATCTTTTAGAAAATGAAATATGTACATGCATGTTTCATGTTTACCATTTGCAGCCACCTGGTGGCATGCTTCCTGGAGGCTGTTGCATAGAGCTTAAAGAAGAAAACCAAGATAGACCAATCTAATCTTAAAAATACTTCCCCCTTTTTTACCTTAGTGCATTCTTTTCATTAGGTAAAGAACATTTTCTATTTCTCAGTCCTCCCCCTTCTCTGTGTGAAGAGGAAGAGAGGGGAGGAGAGATCCAGCGCTGTGCACAGATGCATCTCTTTTCCCCTTCCTCTTCACACAGGATTTGAGCAGCAGCAGGAGCCATTGGCTCTTGCTGCTGTCAATCAAATGCAGTGAGGAGGAAGTGGGGGGGGGTGTGTGTGTGTGTGTGTGTGTGTGTGTGTGTGTGTGTGCGCGCGCGTGTTTCTATGGAGCGCGACTCCATAGACTCACAGCTCGGAAGCGAGCAGACACAGTGTGCCCCATAGCAAATGGTTTACTATGGGGACATGTGAGGAAGAGCCAAGATCGCCAGTGGGGGATCCCAGAAGAGGAGGATTGGGGCCACTCTGTGCAATACCACTGCACAGAGCAGGTGAGTAACATGTTTGAAAGAGATAGGACCATCTGATTTAGGGCCGCCATACATGGCTCAATTCTAAGTGAAAAAAAAAATCCAAATTGACTGATCACCCAATCCACGCCAGGAAGAATCTCCACTTTTGGCTATTCTATTCGGGCAGCTGCAGCACTTGCACTCGGCTGCCTAAATACCAGGACACCACCAAAACAGTGACTGTCCCTTATGGGATGCTGCCTTGTTTGGCTGATTTTTTACCCGACTGATGCTTTTTAAATGGATTTTTTGTTCAACTGTCAGGTGCTTGCAGGGCAACGGATACAAATGGAGAAGCAGAAAAAGGGCGCACCGACCTAGTGCATTATCATTTAAAATAATTTATTGAAGAAACATAATAGGTATCATACTCACAATGGACATAATAACACAGGCATGTCAAACTGAACAAGATGTATGATCCAAACAACATCTGAGTCCATACGATGGAACCCTGGATGACCAACTGGCTGTTTGGTGTTTTGTTTCTTCAATAAATTATTTTAAACGATAATGCACTGGGTCGGTGCGCCCTTTTTCTGTTTCTCCATTTGTATCTAGTGTATTTGGATCACCCTGGTCTGTTGAGGGCAGCAAGCAGTGCATATTCCAGAACATTCCTATTGGGTCTACTGAGTCCTTTCCTAGCGCATGCGTAAAGTGTTTGTTGTGTTGGGCTTGCAGGGCAACCCCGTGGCATGAATTTCAGCTGATTCCTACTAAAATGTGAGCCATCTATGGAGGTCGTAAACATTTTATACATAGGTTAATGACAATCTTGCTGGCAGTGCTGGGCTTTCTTGGAAAGCCCAACATGTTCTGTCACTGAGGCATAGTCATTGTCATAATATATTTGTCAACTATAGTATATAATTTGCAATTGTATTAATCATGTATAAAAGGAACAAAGGCACAAATATTGTGTTAGTAACTGTATATTGCCTATACCTGTAAGGATATTATTCAGTATATAAATTCCTTTTTTCTTTTTTTTTTTTTTTTTTTATTCACGTCTTTATTTATTTTTCCCCCCTCAATAACATGCAGACCAAGGTAGTCCAGCACAACTGACTGTTACTGGGCTTGGGACAAACCATGGAGCACTGGGACTGATAGAATACTGAATTTATCAAAAAAGAAAAAAGGACTAAATAAATGCTGTTGCTGTAACAGCTTAAGGTGAAGCTAAACCTCCATATCCTTTACATCTAGGGAGACTTGTCATCTCAGTCTCTGTTTAATCTGCAGTTGCCATTGTGCTGCACGTGTGATCAGTTATGACACCAGCCTTTTCATGGCTTGACAGTTCAGTTGAGAGCACAAGCAACTGTGCTAGTTATCATTCCCTGCATGCCTTAAATGGAACTGCTTTCAGAAAGCAATAAATGGACGAGTTTAGTTCCCCTTTAAGACTAAGCTCACATGGGCAGAGGACCACAATTAAAAGCCGGTGTTTGCATTGCTGTAGTGACACCTCTTCTATTTACCATGTTCCTGAAGGGGGCAGTTCAGACTAGTGCATTCACATAATTTTGAAGCGTGCTAGTTTTAACTCACCATGTTCCATTTAGCAGACGCCATGCCTGCCAAATGCAGCTATGACAGTTGCGGCACAGTATTTCAATGCAAAATCTCCCTTGGGATTGAAAAACGTGTTCAGGTATTATTGCCTCATAAATGCCTGTAAGCCGACTTTAAACCACAATCTGAAAAGTGATGGCTTTTCAAGGCCTACTGCCCATGGGAAACCAGCCTAAAGGTTTTAGCTGGAGTTAGGTTCTAATATATTTCTGTCTTAGTTAAAGCCCACGTAAGCGGGTGACCACGCCGCTGAGCGATTTCACTGCAGAATAAACTGTTGTCACCCTGCTAAAAGATGAAGAGGCAATAAAACTTTTTTAGGGGGTAAAACAAAGACTTCATTGTAATTTTGTTTTTGTTTTTTTGCCCTTCATTCCACTCAAAATAAATTGAGCCAAAAATCATTTGGTTCTTAAACACACTTTAACCAGTTGTTACACTTTGCTCCATCTTATCAACGAAGTAGAGCGTGTTTTCCGAAAAGATTACAAGCGGCACTGCCTGAGCAACTCCTGGTGGCCAGTGTGTAATTTCACGCTTGGTCTAAGGTGTGATGGCCAAGACTCCATGTTGTTTGGTTCACTAGAGCAAGACTCCCTGTAGATGGGATTCCTGGGAATGAAGGAAGATGTGGTGTTCTGGGATTTTGTCCTTAGAGTATGATGATGGAAATAATGCACTAACAGGCTTTGCGCTGCGACTCTTCGTGAGAAACAGATGCTGGTTGTTTTCTCAAGATGCATTCTACAAGGTAGCTTCACTATAACGACACATTATGTTACATTAGGTTGCCCTCAGTAATTCTTTTCATTTTACAAGATCATTTCAAGGTTTTAGGATGATTTTATGACCTGAATCATGGCATATTGTAGGATTATCAGAGTGGAGCTGCGAGGAGCTTTAAAGTGTTCCTAAACCCACAACAGTAAAATCTGTTTATGCAGTAAAGCATGCTTGTTATACTCACTGTGGAACCTAAAGGGT